GTACACATATACTTGTAGGCATGTACACATATAATTTACAAATCTTTAAATTTCCCTTTATAATAAGTTATAATAAACTTGAAGTAAGTGTCCTTTTTCAAATACTTACCATTTGATAAGGTAAAGTACATAGCCTGAAGTACTATCTCACTAATCTTTATAGGAATTTACATAAGTATGATCATCCTTATTTTAAGGATGAGTGAGTAAGGAACATAGAAAATAATAACTTGGTCATCTTCATACAACTAGTTAAGTGACAGGACCAGAATTCTGACCATAGCCCCTGTGAGCTTCACTGACACCCAGGGCCCTGCCCATGGGACATGGGGCTTAGATTTGGAAATCTGCCATGTTTTACGTGGAGCTGGCTCTTGCTTATGACAATGACCTAGCAGAGTATTTTATTTTCCATGTTTATGTGTGTGCACATGCCAGTGCATGTATGTGCGTACATCTGGAGGTCAGAGGGCAACTTGTATGAGCCCCAGGGATCAAACTCAGGCTGTCAGACTTGGTAGCAGTGCCTTTGCCAGTTCTGCCATCTTGCTGGCTGGGGCACTCATTTTCCCCATTAAGCAGGCTCCCTCTTCTCCATGTGTGTGACCATGAAATGGTGACATCAATGAGAAGTGTTGTGTGGTAAAGTGATTGGAAAAGGGGGGAGTGAAAGTTGGCTGCCTGGGTTCAATTCCAGTCTTCCATCTCTCAGCAACATGGAGCCCTTGTCACAGGGCTGTTGAAAGGAAGGAATAAATTAACAGATGCAGAGATTGGCAGGTGCCTGACACTAAGCACTGTTGGCATCATTGCCTTACAGAAGTGTGGCATGGTAACGGGCCAGTCTTAACTCCTCCCTGGGAAGTAGAGTAAAAGTTCAAACTCCTCCACTTGGAATCACCTGGGACTTTTTATTTCTCCCCATACCCCACCCCACCCCATCCCACATACCCAAGCAATCATGTAATAAAGGGCAATCTATTAAACAGACCCAAATTGGATCTCAAACTGAATTTGTTCATCTTTCCAAAATCTGAGAAGAAAGGCCCCTGTATTGGTTTAGAGACCTTGTTTACACAATACAACAAAATGTCACCTACTCAGAGATGTCCCAAACTCTGGGGTGTGGTGGACAGAAGCTTGTGGATGCAGAACCTCCCTTCAGCTCACCTATAGGCCTCTGAAAGGTAACCATGGCAACGCCAAAATCTCGGATCACTTCCACCTTAAAGTCGTCACTGGGGAAGCCGCTTATATTCTCCACCAGGATGGTCAGCACTATGTCAGTCACTTTCTCCGACAGGTTTTCAAAAGCCACCATGGAGGGAACAGTTTCATGTTCTTTGGGGACATCTTCCATTTTTTCTGATGTGTTGCTGGGAGAATGTGTTGTATCCAAATCATCTGAGGAAATTGGAAATTACAATGAAAGGTGTAAGGTATCAAATCATGGTTTTATTAAGTACATTATCCTGAGACAACCCTCCTCCCTTATCCATATCTTGGCAAACTCTGCTAAAAGGAAATCTCAGATAGTGGAGCTTTTGCTTTAGTGAATTAAAAACTAAAATGTAGCTGGGTGTGGTGGTGCACACCTTTAATTTCAGCATTCTGGACGCGGAGGCAGGTAAATTTCTGTGAGTTCAAGGCCAGCCTAGTCTATACAGGGAGTTCAAGAACAAAACAAAACCATAACCTAAAATTTAATACTGTGGGGTTTTTGTTGCTCTTGTTGTTAGTGAATTAAAAACCAAAAGTAGCGTTGTTGTTTTTTATTTTATTGCTGTTATTATCACTAATTCAATGTTATTACTTTTTCTGCTCTGCCTTTCTGAGGAAGGGGCATTCTCCCTCATATGTGTCTCTCGAGTACTCAACTGTGATTACAGAACCAAGCTTCTACAGTCAGGGTAGAGTCTTCATCTCTGTGCTGTGGCACACGGCAGACAGCTGAGGCTCATCAGGTGACCACTGCATTAGAGAACTACTGTTGGCCTCCCTGGAGGAGCAAAGGTATAGGAAGCTCTGTACCTACTCGTGCTGGACAAAGTAACAGTTTAAAGATTACACTGTAGCAGCATCAGTGAATGACTCCCTAGGTTAGACAGCATGCTGTGTAAGTGTGAAGGCTGGAGCTTGAATCTCCAGCCCCCTTGTAAAGAGCTGGGCATGGCTACATGTGCCCAGTGTGGAGAGCAGAAATGGTCGGATTCACAGAGCTCCCTGGACAACACGTCTAGGCAAAAGGGCAAACCTAGGTTCATTGAGAGACCCCATCTCCAGGCCAGAAGGCAGAGTGATGCAGGGAAAGAATTTGTTTCCCTAAGACTTGGTGTCTGTATCTCTTGGCTGCTCTTGCTCACCTCATTCTGTATGGTTCTTCATTTGGTGCCCTTTACACGGGTATTCTTAGCTGCTGCTTCATTTAAGTCTGGGGCAGGACATGGCCCAGTAAAGCAGGAGACCCCATCCCAGCCCCAGTGCTGGCTGATTCCTATAGCAGATAAGGGAGAAAGAGCTAATGCTCAGAAGGTGGGGTCCATCTAAGACACACCCAGTGCTCTGTGAGACACACAGCAAGCATCCACTACAAGCACTACAAGTCCTGTCCTTGCTATTACTGGCCACCAAAGTACAAGTGTCCATCTCCATCTCTCAGTTCTTCTCCTCTCCTCAGCTGTAGATGTATCTCGGCAGAAAAAAAAAAAGTTGTTCCTGTTCTTCTGAAGGGAGCCCAAAGAGCTGAATGGGGTCCCTCTGGGACTGTTTCAAATACCTCTGGCTGAGACTGGGAAGACGATGCACCTGCAGGTGGCTCCAAGCTGAGCAGAACCTGCCTGGTGTGACTCTAGAGGAAGCTCTTCCGAGCTACTTGTTTAATAAAAACTGCCTGGTGAACACCAGGGCCACCTTAGCTGAGACTTACCTTTTTCTGCACCTTCTTTTTTTGTCCTGGATTCCTAAAATCAAACAGTAAGACAGCATTATTACATGAATTATTTCTTTTTGTTTGTTTGCTTGTTTTTTTTTCCCAATAGGTTGGTTGGTTTTATTTGTTTTTTTTTTCTTTGAGACAGGGTTTCTCTGTGAAACTGTTCTGATTGTCCCAGAACTCACTCTGTAGACCAGACTGGCCTAGAGCTCACAAAGATCCACCTGCCTCTGTCTCCACAGTGCTGGGATTAAAGGCACGTGCCTCCACCGCCCAATGACTATGAATCATTTCATATATAAATAAAACACCTCGGGCTAGACTGGAGGTGTAAATTAATTGAAATAATTACACATTTGGATACTGGGCTAGGGAATGGATAGGAGGCCACATGTCACAGCGTGTCTTCTTACTGGTTACAATAACCACTGATGAAATGAGACACACACAGGAGTGTCCCTTAAGTCAGCTTAGCCTGTGTTTTGCCTGACTTGGCACTTAGTTCATGTTTACTGCATGAACACGGTGCACATGCTTCAGAGAGGTCCCTGACAATCTTCTTCACAGCTGAGGGACAGCACACGCCGGGTACACTGCTGGCCTCAAGATGATGGAAACAGAACAGCAGGCTTCTGGTTATAAAGACACCAAGACCAATGGATACAACTTTGACATCCCAAATTCATTATTATCTCACCCTCCAAATCCTGACTCTTCCAAAAGTAACAAAAATGACAGCTTCTTCATTGTTTACAGTCCTTGCTCCCTCCAGAGTCCTAAGCTGCCATTCTCAGGCTACTGTGACTTAGGCCCTCATCTACCATTTTTCTTTTTGAGACATGGTCTCACTATGTAGCCTTGGCTGGTCTGGACTCACTATGTAGATCAGGCTAGCCTTGAACTCATAAAGATCCTCCTACCTCTCCCTCCTGAGTGCTGGGATTAAAGGTATGCACCACCCCACCCAGCTCATCTCCACCATATTTATCATAGAGAATCGAAGCACCTTGGAATAACACCCCATGTCCTTACCTTATCTGGAACTGCCTCCTTAGAGACTGAGGCTTTATCTGGGTCTTCAGGCAACCGGACAGTTAACTTGAATCTCCCTTTTCCTGGCCACACTAACTCATGATTCCCTTTCTCCAGAACATTTTGACAAACTGAAATGTTAAAAAAAAGAAAAAAGATTTTAGGCTGTCCCGGGCTGGTGAAGGAACTGAGAACTGTGTGACCTCAGGATGACCTCTGTGTGAACAGTCTGAAGCCTGTTACAGAATGTTCTGTACCTCTGTATTACATTCCTCCTCTTTCCTGGACTTTGGTGAAGTCCATCCAAGGCATCCACGCATGGCCGTCTCTTCTTAGATGTGTGCAATGCGTACAGGCACAAGGATTGCCAGAAAGCCACGGTGGCAATAACAGTGTGTGATTCCCATCCAGAAAGTGAATCTGGGAGAAGGAGGCAAAATTCTGACGTCTAGTCTCTCCCCTGTGCCCACCTCAAGTCAGCTATGTTCAGTTTTACTTAATAAGGTGGGTTCTAGGGTCGCAGAGATGACTCTATGGTTAAGAACACTGGCTGCTCTTATAGAAGACCCCGATTCTGTTACCAGCTCCCACATAATGGCCTATGACATCTGTACGTCCAGTTCCAGGGGATCTGATGCCCTCTTGTGGTCTCTGCAAGCACTGCATGCATGTGGTATATAGACATATAAAGAGCAAACACCCATACACATACAATACAAATAAATCTTTCTATATGTTTGTGTGGTTTTCAGAGACAAGGTTTCTCTGTGTAACAGTCCTTGCTGTCCTGACATTTGCTTGAAACACACAGAGATCTGCCTGCCTCTGCTTCCCTAGTGCTGGAATTAAAGGCGTGCCCACAACTGTCCTGGTAATTTTTTTTAAGAAAATGAGTTCCCTCATTTCAAGAATGCCTAGGCCTTCACTTAATAAACAGGGGCCCATTTAGGACTAGAACGTATGATAAAGTGTGTCCACATGAAATGGGGTTACAGGGATTTGAGTTTGGGTCTGAGAGTATAGCTCACTGTCCTAAGGGAAAAAAGACCTACATACTCAACAGTACACAAACCCAGTTGACATACAAAGGTGAGACCTCCCTGTTGGTACTGGTATACACTAGTGCACTGGTAGGCTCAGTAGTATTGCCCAGCTGGTGTAGGTTTATATGAATAGAGTCATGCCTGCTCAGGGTGTTTCTGGGATGGAGGGTAGGGCCTCTACAAGAAAAGAAAACTGCTGCCCTAGGACTGCAGGGTAAATCTGGTGGGAAATTCCAGCTGCCTTGCTGCTGAGGAGGAAGTGGGGCCTCAAATAGGAAACTGAAAGAATAGAAGTTCTAATCACCCAAAGACTGGCCTGCAACAATATTCCATTTTAGTGTTCTGAGTCATCTGTGTTGGGAGTGAATGAGAGGAAGCAGCTGAGCCACCTGGGAGAAGAGGGGGCTGTGGACTGGGAGCCCCTGAGGGAGAAAGCTGAGCTGGGGGTGTGAGCCCAGCCTCCACCTCAGCTGCCCAGGGCCTGCTATGAAGGCTACAGCTGGGGCTGCACCCTCACTACCATACTTCCCCCTGCCGTGTATGTCACTAAACTACCAGTATCTATAGATCTCCATTTTGTTGGTTTGAGGCTCTCAATAAACAACAGATTTTTCAGACTTCAGCACCTCCCAGTCACCTCAGAGGGCTGGTGGCAAATGCTTCCCCACTCATCCACATTCTCTGTACTAAAGTGTCTAGAATAGAGCTGGGCTGGGTCTAGTTCCCCCACCCTCCCTGTGACCAGGATGCAGTAGTCTGTATCCCTAACCTGCGACCAGCATTTGAAGACAGCTCAAGAGAAGGACACACTCCATAAGGGTTGTGTCTACTGGGGTAGTGACAGCTGGGATCAACCTGGGAACCCCCTAACCCTCTGAGGTGGTTCTCAAAGGTGTTTTCTCAGAGGTAGCCTAAGACCATCAGAAACAGAGATATTTACATTACACTTCATAGCAGTAGCAGAATTACAGCTATGAAGTAGCAACAAAAATAATTTTATGATTGGGGACACCACAGCATGTATTATAGGATTGTAGCAGTAGGAAGGTCGAGAACCACTGCTCTAGGAAAAGAGATAATGAGAAAACAGGTTCTGCTGTCAGTTCTCTGTGGAGCCCACTCTGGTGAAATCAAACCTAGGACAATAAGGTTCTTGCTTTCCAGAGGGATTCAGCACCCTGCAGGTTTCTCCTGCCTCCTGACCAGGCTTTCTGAAAACGTGTGTCAATACCTTCTACACCTGACTCTTTCTGTCATTTTTTTTCTGCTTAGATTCCTGTTGTGCCGTAATCTTGTCTACAGCCTGGCTTCCTCAGCCCCCTTGCCTCTCCTCTGCCTCAAAAGTTTCTCCAAATTCAAGGATAAGAAGGAGGAATTGTCTGCATTCTGAGGATAACCCTGGTCAACAACATCTCAGGAAGGAAGTAATGGTGGCCTTCCGGAAGCCACAGGTCTGGGGCTTTCAATCACCACCCTGAGCAAGCAAGGCTGGGCTTTCTTGGCAGATTGCAGACCAAAGTGGGAAACATTCAACTGCTCAACTATTTAGGAACCTTCCTGCTATGACAGAACCCTCCACCGAAATCCCCACCCCAGCTCAAAGCTGACAGCCATTTCAGGCCACCCTGGAGCTGGAGGACAAAACAAGAACTTTGTCCAGGCTGTGGCACAAGAGCTCAAGAGATTTTCCCTCCTCAAGCTCACCTCCCAAAGACAGCCGCCCCCCCAGCTAGAACCCTGTGGTGCTAGCTGACCCACAACTCCTTAGGATTCTTAATTCTTTAACTGCACCACTTGGATAATAAAATCAGGAAAGGAAAGAAGAGGAGAGGAGAGGAGAGGAGAGGAGAGGAGAGGAGGAAAGGGAGGGAAAGAAAGAAGGGACAGTGGGAGGGAGGAAAGGAAGGAAGAAGAGAGACAGGAAGAAAGAAAGAAAATGAGAGAGAGAAAGGAAGGAAGGAAAGAAGGAAGGAAGGAGAGTGGAAGGAAAGGAAGAAGAGAGAGGGAAGAAGAAAGAAAGAAAGAAAGAAAGAAAGAAAGAAAGAAAGAAAGAAAGGGAGAGGGAGGGAGAGGGAGAGAGAGAGAGAGAGAGAGAGAGAGAGAGAGAGAGAGAGAGAGAGAGAGAGAGCAAAGAACTGGAAGCTTCACAATGAAGCTCCTGTAAAGAGGGCAACCACCACTCTCCAGGATCTCCTGCTCCCATGGAGCTGCATCCTCTCCGGGCCTGGAACCTGTGACCCAGAACCTTGCTCGGGTTAACCCTCCTTGGCCTTCATGCCCCTCACCGTCCTCCGTGGAGAAGAGCATCCGGAAGCTCACAGGATTCCAGGGCTGCAGGAGGACCTCACACTCCCCTACTCCAGACTTCTTCCGGCTCTGAGAGTACATTTGCAACTTGTTGATCAAGGTCTGGAACGGCCTAGACGCTGCCATCCTGGCTGCCTGGAAAACTGCAACTGCCAAGTCGCCCAAAGTCACAGAGTTTTTATTGAGTTAATATCTCTTCCGTTTTCATTTTCACCTAGCAATCCCCATATTGGAATAATGCAAACCCCACCCCTCCCACATACACACACCAAAGGACCTTGGACACACCCAGTTCCCTCTTTCTTCTCCCTCCCTCAACAGAAGTGAGTCAATCCCAGGGAGCTGGCAGTCCCACGGACTCTGGTCTCCAGTGCACTTTGCTTAGCATCTCTCTAGCTGGGCTCCTCCTGCACTTCACCCCAGCCACAGATGAGCTTTGCTCCATCCCTAGGATAACTTCAGTATACACAAAACCCACATTGTATGACAGAAGAAAAGGGGCTCACAAATGATCCTCTCAGGATGCTCCCTGCTCACTTGGGGACCACCCCTCAGAATTTGATCTGCCTTTTTCCTGCTTCTGAATTCTGTTTTCTCATTTGTGAACACTGTGTTTACAAATTCCCAGTTTGAGGAACGTGTGCTAGACACCAACCAATGCTTTCTGGGTGTACAAGGGAGGGACACAGATGTGGGGACACGGGAGAGAAGACAGTAAACGGGTGCTGCTGGAGCAGTAGAACAGGGGCTCCCAGCCTAATTAAGGGAAGGACAGAAGAGCTTATGGGCAGGTGACATGGCACCTGAAGCCTAAGGACTATCGAGAAAGGACCTTAGAGGATTGTCTCTTGGATTTAAATATTTTGAAGATAGAAAAGTCCTAGGTATGTGTAAATGTTAACACAAGAAGTGATGTGGAAGATATTGGTGGCACCAGCCATGACTTCCCCAGGTGCCAGCATCAAAGCATCATGAATGAAGACAGGGGCTTGGAGAAGATCTAGGCATTTTCTACTGATGGCTCCCATTTCTCTGTGGATTATAATCCGACAGGTCACACAACCCAGTGTGAGGCTTGTGAAGATCTTGGTAACACCAAAATGTTTCTGAAAGCCCAATGACCAAAAATTAATTCAAAATCAACTCATAGCACATCCTTGCTTCTGGCCCAGCTTCACTTGTGTTGTCTCCTGACATCACTGCAGCCTTGTTCTGAGCACACATGAGCACTTTGCAGATAGGCCTTCACACCAGAGGACACCAGTGAACACTCTGAAACACCACAGCTCAGATGAGAGACTGTGGCATGATAAGGATTGCAGTTTTTATTGTATACAAACTTTCTGTTCTTACAGAAACATGTCTTAGTACTAGAAAACAAACTTTTAATATATTCCTGCTGTTGTTCGTCAACATGTAATTATCAAATTAATCCATCTTTGGATTGCATCATGTTAGAATGTTTAGTTTTAAAAATTGCTGTTTCAGGGGTTGGAGAGATGGCTCAACAGTTAAGAGAATTGGCTGCTCTTCCAAAGGACCCAGATTGGAATCCAGCACCTGCATGGCAGCTCACAAGCCCCTGTAAGTCCAGTTCCAAGAAATCTAATAAACTCTTCCGGCTTCTGTGTCTCTTCATACACATGTGAATTGTTCATACACATGTGATACACTAACTGACACACATGCAGGCAAAACACTCACTATAAAATAAAAATAAATAAAAAATTTCTTTTGATGAAGTTTGTCTTGGGAATTAAGACAGAATTTCCTACTATTTCTGAAATGGTCCTCAACATGTGTCTGCCATTTTATATTGTGTATTTAATTCAAAGTAGAGTTCTCAGCATTAAAAACAGAAAACCAAAAAAATATTCATTAAGTCTGGAAAAAATGGAAAATGTTCCATGTCTTGCAGTAGCAAATATTCAGCCAAGATTTAGTTCTTTATGTAAAAAACAAACACATTTGTTGCGATATGCAAATTTCTTCCATTTTTAGTAAATGATAAAAGCATATGTGAACTCAAGAACTGTCTTAAAATAACTTTCTTTATGAGTTATTATCAGTAAGTGCTTGGTTTATATAGACATTTTTGTATAACTGGGTACCTGAGGTTGCACTAAAGTTCATCAGCTGTCAGCAGTAGAAGAAAAAGTCCTATCTCAGGGTCCTCAAGTTCAGAGACGCTTTGGAGAAAGACAGACCTAGTACATTCCTACTTAATCCCAAAGAACTGAAACAGTGTAGAGAAGGACGGAGACCCACAGAGGAAAGTTTACTGTTTTGATTTTTGTTTTCTTTTCCTAATCTTTAAAAGTGTAGAACAGTGCCCAGGTGTCCACCAATTTTTAGCATTCTGCCTGCAGATGACGCCCATCAGCTGATCCAAACAGCTCTGGACCCTGGTGTAGAGGACACAGCTGGGCAGGTTAGAGCACCAACTCTGCTGATCTTTGTTCCTGGCTAATCCAAACCACAAAGAAAACAGGCAACCCCTTTCCCAGAAGTTAGAGTTCCATAGCTGAGTAAGCGGTTTCTCTTTTTCCTCACACTATCAACTTCTAAGAAATAAAGTCATGTTGTCGGTCTGAGAGTCTGAAATAGCCCAAGCAGGCACAAGAGTCCATACAAAGCAAAATCTTTATTGAAATGGGCATCAAAGATCAACAGACCAGAGACAACAGTATAGAGTCAGGAGCTGGCTGTGTCCTTGAACGTTCCTTTCAGCGAGTAT